AAATACCCATGACAAAATGCATCTCTTAAAGCCACAGCATTGTCACAATAGACACATACAGACAGAGAAACAAAACATGGATGGAAAGGAAAAACCGATTAGACAGTTCAGTAATCTTTGTCCACAAATACTGTTGAGTTGGTTCTTGCTGATCTGAAAGTTTCTTCCTGGCTTCCCTTTTCCAAATGCTTCCACTAATTTGCAAAAGGCACAGGGTGCTAGTTCACTTGTAAAGTGTTTCTGATTTATCCTTTAAATGTCACAGCTTACAGCAACTGCTGAAGAAATGCTTAACTAGCTCTTTTCAGGGTTAAAGTGAGTTTGACTGCAGAGAACAGTCAGCTCCTGTGCTGGTGGAGGTCAAAATGCTTCACTATATCTTGTTCCTAGCCCCAGATTTTTCAGTTACTGGACAACAAATCACATAGATATTGGCAAGCAAAAGGCCTTTGTCATCAGTAACTAGTTACTAGTCAATAGAAGAATCAGCTTCTTGTTGAAAACCAGAGCTGCATCTGTACACAGATCTCCTCGGGTTCAGTTTATCAGCAGCAACTTCACTAACTGTTTGTTCAGTTGGCTGTACAGTTCCCAAGTCTGAGATAACAAGGTGTAGAGCTGGATGAACACAGCAGGCCAGGCAGCATCAGAGGAGCAGGAAGGCTGACATTTCAGGCCGAGACCCTTCTTCAGAAATGGGGGAGGGGAAGGGGGTTCTGAAATAAATAGGGAGAGAGGCGGAGGCGGATAGAAGATGGATAAAGGAGAAGATAGGTGGAGAGGAGACAGACAGGTCAAAGAGGCGGGGATGGAGCCAGTAAAGGTGAGTGCAGGTGGGGAGTTAGGGAGGAGATAGGTCAGTCCAGGGAGGACGGACAGGTCAAGGGGGCGGGATGAGGTTAGTAGGTAGGAGATGGGGGTGGGGCTTGAGGTGGGAGGAGGGGATAGGTGGGAGGAAGGACAGGTTAGGGAGGCGGGGACAAGCTGGGCTGGTTTTGGGATGCGGTAGGAGGAGAGGAGATTTTGAAGCTTGTGAAGTCCACAAACCTCTGCCGGAGGCTTGGGTATCGCTTTGCAGAACACCTACGCTCGGTTCGCACTAAACAACTGCACCTCCCAGTCGCGAACCATTTCAACTCTCCCACCCATTCCACAGACGACATGTCCATCCTGGGCCTCCTGCAGTGCCACAACGATGCTACCCGAAGGTTGCAGGAACAGCACCTCATATTCCGCTTAGGAACCATGCAGCCCAATGGTATCAATGTGGACTTCACAAGCTTCAAAATCTCCCCTCCCCCTACCCCATCCCAAAACCAGTCCAGCTCGTCCCTGCCTCCCTAACCTGTTCTTCCTCCCACCTATCCCCTCCTCCCACCTCAAGCCCCACCCCCATCTCCTACCTACTAACCTCATCCCGCCCCCTTGACCTGTCCGTCCTTCCTGGACTGACCTATCTCCTCCCTACCTCCCCACCTACACTCATCTTTACTGGCTCCATCCCCGTCTCTTTGACCTGTCTGTCTCCTCTCCACCTATCTTCTCCTCTATCCATCTTCTATCCGCCTCCGCCTCTCTCCCTATTTATTTCAGAACCCCCTTCCCCTCCCCCATTTCTGAAGAAGGGTCTAGGCCCGAAACGTCAGCCTTCCTGCTCCTCTGATGCTGCTTGGCCTGCTGTGTTCATCCAGCTCTATACCTTGTTATCTCAGATTCTCCAGCATCTGTAGTTCCTACTATCTCAGTTCCCAAGTCTGTCAGGTTATTTGTTTTCAAACCCTGCAGCCATCTATTCAAACATTCTTGTTTTTAAACAGTTCCTTCTCATTCCAGCCCACAGTTTTACAAGAGACAGTGTTTACAGGGATGCTGCCAGACGTGGCGAGTTTCCCCATCATTTGTTATTTGAGTTTTAGATTTCCAGCATCCACAGTGTTTTACTCTCACTCTTTCCTTACTGTTTGCTCATCTATTGACTGTGATTTCTAATTCTTAACCAAAGATTCAGGATGTACAGACACAAACACTGCTGGAAGTCACCATAGTCCCAGAGGATGACAGGCTGTTGTCTCATTAGAGAAAGGTGACTGGTGCTGAGTTTCATTGAGGGTTACGACATCTCAGGTGAGGGGTGAGGTTGAGACCGCAGGACCTTCATGTTGACCTTAGTTGCTACTGGTATTGAACCAATGCTGTTTTGTAATACTATGTATTGCAAACCAGCCATCCAGCCAATTGAGCTAACCAACCCCCTATAAACACTAGCACACACACACACACACACAATTACAGCAATTTTACAGTCATGTTGTACATCGTAGTTCAGCTTTTTAGGGTCTAGTTTCAGGATTCTTACTGAGCTTGACTGGGGTTGTGTAATTCCCAGGTTTCTCCAGATCAGCTACTAACTCTCCAGGTTTTCTGTGGGACATTTTTCAAGGTCACAGATCTGTGGAAAACCTTCTGTTGAAGTTTGTACAGGGAAACCTTGTTTAAGAAAGTTTATCCAGAGCAAAACAAAGATTTTTCAGCTCATCGCAGATCTGGGTAAGAGCTTTCTTGATCTTGTGTGGTTTGTCCAACAACTCGACACTGCAGGTCAGTGGGTCGTAACGGAGTGAAAAAGGCCGCCTGATTTTACATGCAAAAATCCTGTTCAGAAGGAAAGAGGAAAATGATCATTGTGACCTAAAATGATGTAGTGCACTGGGTAGTGTCCCTGCCTCTGAGCTAGAAGTTCCAGATTCAAGTCCCACACCAGGACTTGATGGCCAAGGAACATAGAAAATCAGGTGGAGTATCAACTTATAATTCCTTCTAAAACACCCCAGTGGTAGGTGGTAAGGGAGTGATTAAGATCAAAAGATAAAGGAACAGAATCAGGCCATTCAGCCCGTTGAATCAGCTCTGCCATTCAGTGAGATCATGGCTGATCTGATAACCCTCAACTCCGCTTTCCTGCCTTTTTTCCATAACCTTTGATTCCCCTTACTGATTAAAAATCTATCTATCTCAGCCTTGAATATACTTAATGACCCAGCCTTAACAGTCCTCTGTGGTAAAGAATTCCACACTCTGAGAGAAGACATTCCTCCTCATCTCTGTCTTAAATGTGTGACTTCTTATTTTGAGATGATGCCCTCTCTTACAATGGGAAACAACCTCTCCACATTTACCCTGTCAAGTCCTCTAAGAGTCTTGTATGTCTCAATAAGGTCACCTCTCATTCTACTAAACTCCAATAAGTTCAAACACAGCCTACTCATAAGGCAGTTTCTCCATACCTGGGATCAGCCTAGTGAACCTTTTCGGAACAGTCTCCAATGCCAGTATATCTTTCCTTAGATAAAGGGCCCAAAACTGTTCATAGTTCACAACTGTTCCAGCGGTGGTCTGACGAGTGCCTTCTGCGTTTTTTTTATAGTGCCCTACTTTCACATTTCTCTCCTATTAAAATAAAGGCCAGCATTATATTTGCCACTGAACTTGGAAGTTAGCTTTTTGTGATTGATGCACAAGGGTTCTAAAATCTCTCTGTTCTGTAGCCTTCTACAGTTTCTCCTATTAAATAATATTCAGTTCCTCCATTCTTCCTGCCAGTAAGGTCCTTAAACTCACATTTTTCCACATTATATTTCATTGCCCAGTTTCTGCCAACTCACGTAGCTCATCCATATCCCTCTGAAGAGTTTAAACATCATCCGCATTACTTGCTTTGCCACCTATTTATGTATCATCCACAAACGTGATTGTAGTACATTCAATTTCCACATCTAAGTCAATAAATAACTATGGCCCCACCACTGATTTCTGTGGCATTCCACAGGATGCTATTCTGAAAATACCCTACTTAGTCCTATTCTGTATCTTTGTTCGTTTTCCAATCCTCTATCCATCCTAATATACTACCTCTGATACTATGGGCTCTGATCTTATTCAGTAACATAATGTGTGGCACCTTATCAATTAAAAATCCAAATATATTACACCTACTGCTTCCCCTTTATCTATCCTGCTTGTTACCTCCTCAGAGAACTCAAGTAAATCTGTCAGGCATAAATTCCTCTTCATGACGCTATGCTGACTCTGCTTATCATATTGTACATTTCTAAATGCTCTGCTTTTATAGCCTTTATAACAAACTTTAACATTATTCCAATAATAAACATTAAACTAACTGGAACAAAAGCAAAGTTGCTGGAAAAGCTCAGCAGGCCTGGCAGCATCTGTGAAGGAGAAAACCGAATTAACGTTTCGGGTCCGGTGACCCTTCCTGAGGAAGGTTCTGAGGAAGGGTCACCGGACCCGA